ACTCAAAAAAAAAATTATTTATTTATTATAAGTTAATTTAATCCTCAATGGATTATTAACTTTTTTGCTGATTTTCTAATCAAACACAAAAAAGATGTTCACAAAAAATTTATATATTTTTTGATAAATAAAGTTTTATCACTTTCTTTAAATCAACTTGAAATAACACTTCAAGAGTTATTTATACCTCTCCCTTTCTCTTGTAACATTTTCTTCAAATAAAAACTAACTTTTAATGACCAAAGTTATAAATATACCTTTCCTACCAATGGCAAAAAAGTTCTAAAATAAAAAAAAACCAAAGTGTCACTATCTATTCATCTATTAGAGAAACAACACAGAGCTTTTTTAATAATGAGAGACTTATCTTAAAGGTAACCATTCACTCTCTTATTATGTGCTTGCTCTAAGTGTACTCTTTCTTGATTTTTTCTGGAAAATTTACTTATCTCAATTTAATTCTAAATTTTGAGTAGCACAAAATTTCTCATGTATTGATTGGTCAGTAGAAAACATATCAGTAAAAAAATGTAAACAAGCTCCTATTGGTCATCTTACATATTTAAATATATTTTCTTGGCTCCATAAGAACTTGGGATCCACCATAAGATACTAAAGTATAGTGCAAGTGAATATAGAACATAATTTCTTCTGTGTTAGTGCCTTGATCAAAAAAGAATCCCAATAACATACTATACGAATCTATCAAATAAAATTATATTTATAACAAGACTCAAGAATACATAGAAAGAGAACAATGCCTAAAAAGTGTCATGTCTATCTTTTAGAAGTATTAAATTGGTAGACTAAGAGATTTATTATTTGTATCAATAAAAAAACAGGACCAATGTATAGTCTAAAGAAAAAAGAACTATGTCTTAACCTCTCAAGACAGTAGTACTTTGAGAAAAACAATATAATATTTATCAAATTCAATAAAGTGCAAGCTGGATATGTCAAGACTTTTTTTTCTAGAATAGAACCATCACAATGGCAAAAAAAGACAAATTATTAGATGATAGGTCCCTTCCTTCCAATGCTTATATAGTCTAAAGAAAGAATTCTTGACAGCATCATCGAGCTACTTCTTCCTTATATCCTAAAATCCCTCTCGCAATTCCTGACTTATTATTATCTGAAAGAATATCGATAGAGGTTCCATACTAGATATAATAAGGTAAAAATCAAAAGAAAAAATCAGAGTTGGAAGACAAAAAATCACAATATGGCTGTACTGAAAGTAGTTGAAGAAGAGATATCATGACCTGGATTAATGAAGCCCTTGAAGAGTAATCAGTTAATGATGCAAAAGTGGTAGTAATAGCATAGCTTTCAAATTACTTCATATCAAGACTAATTTTTCTTTCTAACCAGTGCCTTTTTTGTTATATGCAAAGTCTTTTTCTCTATTTAATCTTGTATAGTTTTGTTTATAATTATAATTTAGCTTAAAAGATAGAATTATAGTAGTTGGATAGATAGTATAACTATCAGATTAAATCTAAGAAATATATTGATACAAATACAAACACTATAAATTCTTTCTTAATTTTTCTTGCACTAGTAGATCCCTTTACTAGCTCCTTTGTCTTAAAAAAGAATAGTACTACCATGAAGTAGATTTATTCTTATCGAAGTTTTACTTGAAAAACAAAAGTAATTTATTTACATCATATATATAATGTCTACTATAGTCAAATAAAACAAAACTATACTAGCATTAAAAAAAAAAAAAATTATATATATTAATTTAATTCTTAATAAAAAGTTTATATTTAATTTTTTTTTTAATCTATAATTATATCATTGTGTCGTTATTGAGATATTAGAAATATGTATAATATTATATGAATTATTTATATAATAATTAACTTATATTTATATATTATTAGTTAAAGGATTACTTTATTGAAAAATATAAGAAGTCCATTAAGCTAGTTTGAACTAAAGAAAACAAAGTTTAAACTAAGTACTTTAAATTAGATTTGAAAGATAATATTATTACTTATAGTTTATTACTATAGATTATTTTGAAAAATAATAAATTTTCAAATTATATATTGAAAAAGCAAAAAAAGAAAAAAAATAATTCAAAGTTCTTAAAAGATTCTTATTCAAATAAATAATCTCCTCTCAAAAGAAATTTATTTAATTGGAATATTATCTAAACTTTAAACTGTTTGAGAAACTTAGTTATTTCTAATTATGGAGATTTCAAGAAGAATATTTGAGAAACTTATTCTTCTACTGAAATATAGATTCATTTATTATATCATTGATATCAGTGCTATATTATAGCAGAGTTAACCTGATCAAGATAAAAAGGCCTTTATAAAAACTTTGCTTGATTAGAGTGGAAGCTTGAAGATTTTAGCTTTCTTTTTGAAAAAATCTTCTTACCATTTGAAAAACTTGTTAAAAAATAGAAATATTATATTTCATACCTTTTGCTTACTTTTTAATATTACAATTGTCTTCTTTGAAAACTTTCTCAGTTAAAGAATATCTTTTTTATAGACTTTTCTTGCCAATTATAAATGATATCATCAAAACCTATAAGTATAATCAATAGAAGTTTGTTTAATTTTTTTTTTTTTAAGATGTCAGCTCATCCTTGCACTATGTGTTGTGTATTTTATTAAGGTAAGTAGACAATTTAGAAACAACTGGGATGAATAATTATCTGTACTATCTAAGGATTTACAGATTAACAAATAGTACAAAGAGTTAACTATTTACGTCTCACCTAACCAGGATAAGATAATTATATGACTGTCTAGTTTAGATAACTACTTACAACAACAAAATGCAAAAAATAATAAGAAGAATGATGTATAGACTATGTTACTTTTCTATTCTATACGTAGGCACTCCCTAGAACTACTGTATAGGTCTTGATCCACCAGACGGCTTATTTATTTTCCAAAAGAGTGAGCTAATATATCAAGGATTCACCTGAAGTATCCATCACCACCAATGTTGGGGATCCCCCATGTGAAATCTTAACCTTCACTAGCGCTTAACCAAAAATTTTATGAAAAAAAAAGGGTTGACTAGTACTATTCATGAAGAGATACTATATTTCATTGTTTAATAAGGTGACAGAAATGTTTCCAAAGAAGAGGTAATAAGTATCCAAAACTCTTTCAAAAGGATCCTATTCCATGAGGTCGTTTTCTTCTGAATTTAGTTCACTGGAATAGAAAAGAAAAAGTGATAAGCTATTGTTTTCTATCCGATGTGTCCTAGTCCAGTACTGTTCTTTCTGTATAGCCAACGACGTCATAGGTATTCCTGTCCTGTATTCACCTGCACCACAGATAAATGACTTATAGTGGACTCTAAGTTCTTATAGATATTGAGGAAATACATTCAGACACATGGGGTGACCAATGGGAGTTTGTTTACATTTTTTATTAATGTAAAATTTTCTGTCCAATCACGATGTGAGAAACTTTGTGCTACTCAAAATTCAGGGTCAAACTGAGGTAGATAAAATTCCCCAGAAAAACCCAGAAACGAGCACTATTAGAGTGCAAACAATGACAAAGAGAGTGGGAGAGGAGTTTCTTGTCATAAACAACATTCTGTATTGTTTCTCTACAGTGTGAGATGATTGTACATTAGTTCTTCTTCCTTTCAAAACTTTCTTGCCATTGATAAGAAAAGTGTTGCTTGATTTTTTGATCACTTGCAGTCAAGTTTTTGCTTGAAAAGAAGTAAAAAACAAGAGGAAGAGGGTATAGGAATAACTCTTGAAGTTTCTTTCAAGTTGGTTTAAAGAAAGTGATAAAACTTTATTAGCCTAGAAGTATAAAAACTTCTTGCGAACATCTTTTTTGTGTGTGATTAGAAAATCAGTAGAAAGAGTTTTTTGATAGAAGCTTGTTTAATATGTTTTATATCAACCAATTATATTTAGTAAGGATTCGTGCTACCTAAAATTCAAGGTCAACCTGAAATAGGTAAAATTCTTCAAAAAATTGTGAAAGTAGGAGCTCTAAGAGAACTAAGATAGTTCAAAAGAGAGAAAATAAGCTTTTAACTATAACAAAACCTCTATAAACCTCTCACTTCAAAGGTTAGAAAGATCTTTAAGTACTTTACAATCAGTTGTTCTTCCTTTGAGAACTTTTTTGCTATGGTATCAAAGGTATTACTTGATAAAAACTCTTTCCCTGAAACTATGTGCGAATCTTAAGACACAAAAGATATTCGAAATTCATGACTTTGTTTTCATCATTAATTTCTTAAAATGGAAACCTAACAAATGCGTAAAATATTCGCGCACTGGTACCACATTTATCTGAAATAATATCGTTCTTAATTTAAAAAATCTTTTATCTAGGAAATACAATTGAAAGAATAGTTATATGAGGTTCAAAAATAGAAAGATTGGATGACAATTTGAAAAGACCTGATATTCTAAAGAAAAATTATGGTTATTTAAAGTAACAACTTCATGTTTTTTGATTATACATCTTATTCATTTAGACATGATTGTCACGTAAACGAAGTGCACATAACATTGTGACTTCAAGCCTGAGACATTGCTAAACTTAAAATGTATCGTCTTCCTGTATAGAAATTTCTTTCTTTTAATGAAAGATACGTTAGCTAAATCTTTGTCGATCCGCATCTACTGTTGTACATGTTTATCGCCAATGAAATATAACCCAGATTGATGTTCTCGGACACTACTAAATACGTGACCATCGATTTTCTTTTTTTTTTTCACATCCATGGAAGGTAGAAATCTGGTTATAGATTCTTTGTTTATTTACCCGGTAAAATCTTGTCGAGGAATTCAATTGGATTCGTGGAAAGTAGGACCATATGGGTTGGAGTACGATAGATTTTGGATGATTATAGACAAAAACCACGAGATGATGACACAAAGGAAATATCCAAATGTATCAAAAATTTTTTCTGAAACAGATGCAATGGAATTTTACAAATTCGCAATCAATAACTTGGTTTTGCATAATAGCTTGTCCTCATTACACCAAAATTTGAAGAATCCAATCCGGAGAAAGGAAGCGAGGGTCGAGAACTAGTACTTTCAGCTCCTGGCATGGCTCAAAATTTACGCCTTCCATTGTTTCCAGAGTAAGCTTGATCAACTAATGACAGACAAGGATGCGTAATTAAATCGATTGCCTATTTATAGGAAACAGTTTTATACAAAAATTCAAACGATCGTATGGAATGAACCGGTTCTTGGATACGATTGTGGTGATGAAGCGGCAAACTGGTTGATGACTTTTTTAAAGATTTCGGCGAGAATTGTTTTCAAGTCTGATGAGGATATGAGACGTGTTACGTCAAATATTCCAAAGGGAATTAACTATCAACCTGAGGTATTCCTTAAGCTGTTCATATGAACATATGGCTATTAGGTCATACCCTAACATTTTATGTACAGACCGCATTTGCGGATACCCATCCAATTTTACTTCTTTCAATAGAATCGCTAGATGGTCTCAATAAAAGGTTAAAGGAACCAGTTGCGGCTATAAATTTTCGGCCCAACATTGTTGTTAAAGGGTGTAATGTACCGCACGAGGAAGACACGTGGAAAAAGATCATTATAGGAGAAGATCCGGAGAATATCTTTTATGTCACATGCAGGTGTACCAGGTGTACAGGTATGCTTTTCTCTTTTGCGGTTTAAATCTTTTGGATTTCTTATAAATCTAGTGACATATGTCATTTATTTCAAAGTTCCCAATGTGAACCTAGAGACTGGAATTAGAAATGCTGAATCGCAGCCATCAAGAACATTAAGTTCATATCGTAGAGTAGACCCAGGTTCTAAATACAGAGCTTGTTTTGGTACGTCCGTGCAGTTTCGATTCATTGTTTTATCATGATTCTCTATTTATGAATAAGTTTCATTTTAGGGATGAATGTGATTCATAGTAAAACAGGTTAGTTATGACCTTTTAATAGGAAATTCCACTCTTTTTCTTTGGTTCTCATTTTTCTCGGTTCATCGATTAGGAAAAATTCTCAGGGTTGGCGATCCCGTCGTCGTGTTGGAAAGTGGCGAGCACGTACGTGAGAAAGAATAGCTGTTTCTAAAAAATGATGATGATCGTTTAGTGTCAAATGTTCCTAAAAATACTTGAACCACGTTGTTCTTTTTTTTTTTTTAATAAATGCGATGGTGTATTTCTTGTTACTCCTTTGCCATTAAACTTCGAAATTCGCGCATTTATAAAAAAAAAAAAAGTTGAGGAAAACGGAATATTTATTATTGAAGGAAACAATGGGAAAATAGGAATATGCGTATTTAGGATAATATAAAAAATAAAAAGAGATGTGTGCCTATATGATAGGAAATTAGGGAATCTATTTTGATAATAAAAAAGTTGTATTGCGAAATCTGTAAGAACAAATAAAATGGTCTGATCTTTCATCTATCTTGTGCTAAGTAATCTAGATATATAAGATTTGCTAAATTAGAACCAAGGTATAACTTTTTCTTTAAGAAACTCCTGTTGTAAGGAGTGCAATAGAAATTAAAGTTAATCCAAAATTATCATTATATTATCATTAACCTAAATAAATATATAATTATCCATATATATCATTTTCATTTTATTGTATCCAATTTTCGCAGAACTTCCATAACCTGTTCATAAACAGTAAAAATAATTCCACCAGAAAACTGAAAGGAAAAAAAAGAATTCATCAGATTAAATAGATTTTAATTCATGCGTAATAATTTAAACTAACCAATAGTCTCCCTAATCTAGGAGTTGCACCTTTCCAGAACGCAAAGACCCCTTCTTCGGTCAAAACTTTCCAGGCACAATGAAAAGAATTTCTATACAATTCTTTGGCACCTAGCCCCTGCATCTTGGTTTTTACAACGTCCAACGGCATGGTACTATAAACTGTCACTGTACCAGCGACTGAACCTATGCCAAATGTCACAGTCCACGGTAATGATTGACCTGATGAGTATTTTTGGAATCTTTGTTTCAGGGTGGAATACGTCGAAAATCGGACCGCTTGATTTGCTCCCTGCCTCATCATCACCGGAAATAACCCTCTGTATATTCCACCCACGCCTTCATCTGCTACTATTGTGCGAATGCCTGTTAAACATTAAATATAATTGGTTAATATTACAATTTTGATATATTCGAAATGTGTAGGGTAATAATCTGCAATTCACCGTGCATTAGTCCTTTATAACGTGGTTCTGGCCGAGTGGTATCGTGAATTAATTTCGTTCTGTAAGGATTATGAAAATCAATCAATTTTATCTATCGATAGACAACATATAATAAACTCACTTAATTGTTTCCGTCGGAGTTACCACAAGGGTGGCCTCAACCATTCCTGCACCCAAGCCGGCTATATGACATAAAGGAAATATCGTTAACTGAACATTGAATATTGAGTGCAAGCAGTGTCTCATTTACCAATCATAGATCTGGGCCCGGAAAGTTTTCCATTTTCATCTTGTAATAAAACTTTGATCTGATCATAAGTAAAGAATCGAATACCTGCCTTTGCGGCTGTTCCGATCACCAAGGCGGAAAGACCTTTGTAGAGTCCGAATACTCCTTTGGTTCGAACGGTGGTAATCGCACAGTCGAGGGGACCTTTGTATTTCTATGAAATGAGGAAAAAAACGATAAAATATCCGAGATTTCAATAAATTCAGTAAGCATTTCGCCCGATGTAATTTGATGTCATACTGTTTTGGCGTTCGACCCATCTTGTAATTGTAATTGTGTCTTCACAAATTCTGTTGGATACTGAGAGTTATTTGTTAATTAATCATCGAGAACCATTCATTAAAATTCTTTTCACTTTCCAATAATTAAGTATTTACTGTTATCGTTGCTTCCACTCCGCCGGCGATTAATCCGGCAATCAGAGAATAAAGCACTTTATCTTTCTGCGTATCATTGGGATTCGAGAAGAAATTATTCAATGCAATGATTAACACACTTATTGATTAAAGGACACTTAAAGTCCAATACCTTTTTCTCAGACATAATTAGCTAACAAAATTTCATGCGCATCTAAATCAGAAAAAAAAAATTTTTTTCGAAAAAAAATTTTAAGCGCCACAACAAAGCCATTAGAATTTATGTTCGAAATAAAATCATGTGAAATTCCTTTCTGTAATTCTCGATGGTGCAAGCCCTTTATGGCAACGATGGCCGTATATTGCTATAATTATATTTGACAATTAGAATTGTGTAATTATGTAATCAACCAATAGGATCCCGAAAATGGGCTTGTATACTACAGAGATTTACTATTCACAGTCTAAATAGAGAATCGAACCCCGAATCTTTAACATACTGCATAGAATTATTTAAGTTGTATTTTATTAATTTTAATAATTTGCAAGGTTTGTATACTATTTTTCTTTATTAAGAATTAACTTAACATATGGCAGATAATTAAATCCTCAGTACAACATTAATCGTCTTATATACAGTATACAATATACTGTATATTTCTATATCAGGCAAATTAATAATAATAACTTATTATAATTATTCGAGATAAATTTAATATTATGATTGGTATAGTTAGTCTTAAACTATATATTTACTTATAGTTAATTATTAATGTTCTACTTGAATTTTAAAAATTTTTTATTTTTTTTTATTATTATTTATCACAAATAAAATTTACTTAATAGATTCTTTATTTAAACAAATCTTAAAGTAAATTATTTTTAAGTTAAAATATTTGGATTTAAAATTTATTAGTATAGTTTGAATTAATAAAATTCTAAAGTTTATTAATATACCATATAGTATGGTTCAAAATATTTTTCTATAAAATATTTTTAATTTATTATATAAATATTTAATAGTACATATATATAAGTACTCATTTGTTTATTTTATATTAGTTAAAATAAATAATATGACATATATATTTATATAATATAATTATTATTATTATTATTATTATTATTTTAATACTTGTGATCAGGTTAATATTATATATTTATTAATTAATATAAAAACTAATAAAGATATAGTATATAGGACAATTATATTATGATTAAATTAAATATCATATTAACTTACTTGTTAATAACTTTCAATTCTCAAAAAAGCTTAATCTTTAAGTGTAATCTTGAGAATAATATTTCACTTTATAGTAAATTTTAAGTAAATACTCTTCTAATTTACATATCATTGCTAGCAGGTTATCACTGTTTATTGCTTTTCAAGAAACCAATTTTAAAAAACTACAAAAGAAAAAGAAAAAATATATCAACAAAATATATAAGTATATCTATAGTTTCTATTTAATATTTTTATGTTATATTCAACTTTTGAAATGATATATTCATAATTCTAGAGTTTACTTAGTAATTATACTATATATATTTCATCTATATCTTTTTGTTATTGTATTCTTGTTTATTATATATACTACTTTTTATATTATACATATATTAAATAAGTATTATATATATCAATTATTCTTGGTATCTATTTACTGTATATATAATTAATTTAATATTAATTGTATCATATATATAAATACTATCTTTTTAGAAAATAATGTGATTTTTTTTTTATTATTTTCAGCATATTTTTATTAAAAATATGTCAACTATTAGGCTATCAAAATTTTTTTATCCTGGTTTTTGTTTTTGATCCTTTGAAATAATTAGTAGATTTTTTCTTTCACCAAAATCTCTCAATATTATAGATTATAGTAATGTATATAGCCTAGTATTAAATAGTCAATAGTATACTATCAATTTATTAAATCTACTCTTCTTATTATTTTTTTCTAATTTATTATTAAGAATAATATAATCAAGTTAAGATAATTATAGCTAATTTTAGATCTTGATTTTCAAATTACAATATTTATATACAGTTGCTTCCAAAAGTTTGAATCCGCTTACTATGTTTTTATTATAAATTTCAACTTTAACAATTCTTAAATCATTAACTATACAGTCAAAAATTATAAAATTTATATATATTATATTTTAATACTTATTCTATTTCTTGTAT